GCGCGGGCCGCCGTAGCCGCCGGACTGGCGGTGGCCGACCCGCTCGGCGCATACGTCGCGCTCGTCACGTGAGTACTCAGCTCATCGCCTCTGGCGTCTCGCTATTTTACAATTTTTTATTTTAGGTATTTTTCTCATTTTAGTATTGAATTAATTAATTAATGAGTAGCGGGGTGTCTACGGATACGGCGGCGAGTGCGGCGGTCACGGGGGGCGCGGCGGTCGCGGGGGTTGCGGGGGGCTGGCGGCGCGACCCGCCGGGCCCGCCGCTGGACCTGGCGCCCGCGCTCATCGCAGACCAGCACGTGTGCGGTGAGCCGACGAAACGTTTACTATAATGTCATCGGTTGATTAAATCATGAATACTTTGTATAAAACAGATCGACATCAGCTCACTACATGTCCCCACTGAGGGGATCCGAGACTACCCTAAGTTACAGACGACAAGGCCATACTCAACCACTGCGGGTTGACTTCACACATATCTTTTGAATTTCTTCTTAGATAAGTGCACGTTACCTACCTCCGATGTGCATATTATGAAAATCGGAAATCGAAAAACACAGTGGTACATGGCGGAACCCAGAACCTGCGGATTGCAAGTCGAGTGCTTAACCGCTGACGCTCTCGACGCTATGAAACAGACAAAGTCGATTAAATAATTTATTGACATATTTAAATGTATTAAATTGTATGATTATTTATTAAATTAATTGATATATTATATTAAATAAAGGTTCAGTCCGTGATGTGAGATGCGCGTGCCGTGTGCAGGGTCGCGGTACGTGATCGGCGCGGGCTCCACCGCTGCGCTCGCGGCCACTGCGCGCGCGCTCGCAGCCGGCGCGCCCCCCGCCGCCGCCGTCGAGGCCGCCAGAGGCCCGCCGGGGGGCGCGGGGGGCGCGGCCGAGGCGGCCGTCAACCTGGTGCGGCAGCGCGGGGACGCGCTCGCGGCGCACGCCGACAGCCGCGGGGGGGGGCTCGCCGCGCGCTTCTAGTGGGGGGCGCGACGGGGGGTGCCCGGCGGGGGGTGCCTCACACTCACGTCTGGATAGCTTGTGATCAATCATTGAATCTATGTGAAACGAGTTTATTGATTGAATGTTGCAGCGTAATAAATATAAGTAATAATGATTTTTGATCGAGTTGTTTGAACATTATTAATTTGAAATCTGTTCCTTAATAAATACTTTCACTGTGGTGTAGTTGTTGTCCGCGCGGAATAAGATAAACATTACTAGTACTGTACTAGCTTCTGTGCCAGGCCATCTTCTATATGTGCTAAATTTAATCGAGAACCGTTCAGCAGTTTCAGAGATACCTTCAAATAAACACCGTATGTGTGCGGTTCCTCTGATATTGCTGATGTCCATGAGCGTCGTTGAACACCTCGGCGTTCCCGCTGCTCGCTTGCCCCCTTCTGTTAGAAAAAAAAACATCCATCCGTCCAACATTCGCATTTATTATATTAGTAAGAAGTAAGGACTGCCGCTTGTCTACTGACATCTATGATGCCGGCCATGCGCGGCTGTCTGCTGCTGCCTGCTGCTGAGTGCTGCTGAGTGCTGCTGTCTCTTGTGTATTGGAAACAGATCACTGCGTTCATTTGTACGTGGACGAGTGATTACGCAGAAGACGCGCGTTATCTGCAGCCGCACTGACGTGATTTGTTTTCATTTGTTATCTTCACCTTCACGCACCTACTCTTATGAAATTACTAAAATATTTATATCATTTGGTGTAGTAGGTATCGGTCGCCGAGTTATCATCGCTTTAAATAATCCTCAGAGATCAATATGGAGTGTTTGTGAACGCGCGCCGGCGACACTCTCGATGTTATTGTTGCGAGGTCAGACTGGAGGCTGCTGCCCACAATTCATACATTTCTGAAAACGTAGAATGACACAAAAGACGTGACAATGCGATGCGACCTTGATAACATTTTTGCACACCGGGCACGGCCGCGACGATGAAAATAACCCGCGATTCCATATCGACCGTTTGTCGATTGAGCGCCATCGGCGTCATTAACCACCGCCTGCGCCGATGTATCTGCTGCTCGAGTATCTGCACTCGAAACATCTTTACCTGCTTGTATAATGAACAAAAAAGAACGTCGAATAATATGTATGTACATATGAAATTCGAACACCATATTGGTACATTACGGGGATCGAACGTGGACGTGTAGATTATCATTCGGTCCAGTCGAGCGCTTAACAACTGCACTACTAACACACAACACAGAACTACACTTAATAAGATAAAAACATCATATATATGAAATATAAAATATATATTATGCTATTACACATAGACACTACATTTGTATTAACTGAATAGTTTATGGTTTGCGGATATGTAGCGCTCTCGCTCTAGGAATTATCTGGCAGTCAGACATCGGTGACATTGTAAGGTTACTTTATCCACTCACATGTGTATATGTTTATATTGAACTGAACTGCAAGCGATAAATTATGTTTACGAACCATCAATGCAACTCTGTGTTTAGCACAGATACAGTCGGCGGTGACACGTTCACCTTGCGAGGTCGCCGGCGCCCGCGCTCCACTCCGCTTCGTGTTGCGCGTCGAGTGTGGCCTCATTAGCGACACTTTTACATATATCTAGAGGTCCATCGGCTCTTTTCTTCGTCCTGTGCTTATTCCAAATTCAGCATTATTCAAATGGATGTATCTATATATACACTATCCACATCGCATAAAATGTAATAAACAGAGAATGTTCACAGTTACCTACATACTTCTTCGTAAATAGAAGTAAGATCGGCGTGGCGAGCCACACGTGGCATCACTCCAATAAAAACAAAACATTACGTTATAAAAATGTCCGCGTCCGACCCGCGAGCTGGTCTTTCGATTACGTTTATTGTTTGTGATCACATTCTTACTGTAAAAGGTAATTTAAATCTACATTTAATTCACCTGATAACTAAACATTTATTTGTATAAAGATTAATATTTAATCCCTAATAAAAGCCGCAAATAACGTGCTATTTTTAAAAGACTTCAAACAGAGAAGTTCTTAATTTTTTTTTTAATTGTCTTTTCTCTATTACAAGTAAATGTAGTGAGAAAAGCGCAAAAAATAGAGATATGCCATCGCTGACTATTTTGTAGCATTTCTCATTCTTACATCACTTTTATACTACTCAATGTAAGTGTAGACTATGTAAGCCAAAAACGGATAATTTTAACGGGTTCAGAAATACGCTATTTTCATTGATTTATTACTAAAAACATCACAAACCATCTAGCATAAATAAACAACATGATGGTGTCGTCACGTGGCTTAGTGAACATAGAAGGCAAATAGAGGTCACGAAAAGCCAATTTGCTTTATAAGGTTTATTATAGAAATAGAAGAATATGGTAATAGTTTTTATTTACAAAAAAATGTGCAAAGCAATTTTCGTGAATGTGTCGTATTCGTGTTTACGCTTTGAATTTTTGAAATGAAAGTAAATTTTACGTACTTTAAAACACTTTCACAACTGGTGGTTGGAATGCGATATAAGCGGCCGGTGAGTTTGACATCCCTTCACAAACGAAAACCTTTCAGAAAAACGATTTAACATTTAGGTGATAAATAAAATAAGGAACATGACGTGGTTATCTTGTTAGATTTATACGTAAAAGAATACATCATATGTATAAGCTGAGTGCGGCGCGGTAGGCGCTAGTGGGCCTGAGCTGACTGGAAGTCGAGCGTCGCTCTAGAGGTATCGCCGAAATAGCGAAGACACCGCTGCCCAGAGACAGTTGTAAGGTTGTTTATTTCCGCTTTCTATACGTACTTCTACCCCGCCATGTCCACTTCCCCCTTCCTCGAGGGAAAAGGATTAGAATTAAAGCTATGGCATACAATTGATAAGAAGAAACGCAGTATTGTTTCCACTTCACACATATACGAGTACGTACGACATTGCGCATACGTTACTGTCAATACACGAAATAATCTGAATCTTTTAATAATATATTTTAGTAAATTATTCGTTTTTAATATTTTATTTAATATCATAGAATAAGACTATTCATGGCCTAATCACCCTTAACTTAGGGTAGGCTCCGAGCCCCTCGGCGGATACGTTTAGTGAGATGATGATGAAGACTATTCATTAGATTCTTTGTTAGTTTATTGTTAAATATAATTTACTATCTAAAAAAATGTAAGACTGTCGTAACGCACATTCCTGAATAAAATACAATATTAAATGTGGATTTTATGGCCTATGCAGCTACTGGCCTTTTATTTACTTTCATAATTTTTGGGTCAATTCATTTACATTACTGGCATCATATTGTCTCAAAGTGTTCACAATGTATGTATGTACAAGTGATGTTATCAAAGAGTGTACCTACTATATAATTGACAGGTATTATATTATGGTATGCAAATACTGAAGGCACAGTATGCAAACATGTATGTAACATATATCACAAATGAACAAACAATATCACCTTGATGCCTATTTTACATTAAACCAGTACAGTTTGACAGTTACACTGGCGTGCCATCGCCTAGTCAAATTTTAGTGTTTTCATTGTGCCAGTTGTATGCCAGCGCTGATATTGAGCGCTACTGGTGCTGTCCTACTGCACTGGTAAAAGGCAGGCATCAAATATGTATTTGGATGTACAAAGTTCCCGGTAAAAGGAGTGTTGGTCGTAGAAAGAAGTCCTGGTTGCGCAACATGCGAGAGTGGACAGGGGTTGCGAGTGCCGCCCAACTATTTCGCTTCGCAAGAGACAACAGAAAATATTCACCATATTTTCTGATCTGATCTGATCAGACTGATCGCCAACCTTCGTTAGTCGGAGAGGCACCTCAAGAAGATGAAGAACCACAAAAACACAATATTCAATAGAGCGCTGCGAGTGCGCGTTGCATTCACGTTTTATGAACGTGTGGCAAGTCGTTACATAACAAACACGACGAGACGATGACTGTGATGTATGCGTTTGTACGCACGGGAATTCCCATTGGTTACAAGTGATGTGCTTCATCAAATAACATACTAAATATACATCAATAGCAAGGCTTCAATATTTCGTTATGGAAGCGTCGCTCGAAGATACAAATATACGTTTCACACAGCTAATGCATGTTGCCTTCGCGAATCTCAGTGTTGTTAAGAGCCGGAAGGCGGATGAGAGCGCGACATAGCGAGCGGTGACATAGTGTGCGAGCTTCAGCTGCACTCTCACCCCGCGGCCGCGAGCGGTGGGAAAACAAGTAGTGACGACACGAGACAAGAATACAGCTGTTGTTGATCGCAATGTGGCAGATGCGCGCGCGCATGCGGCGACATCGTCCCGCGCGCCCGCACTGCCTCGCAGCAGGTGGACATGCATACATGTTATTGCACTCAGGCCGGCTCGTTTTGTTCCCGTTAGCATAGTTTTCTAAATAAAAGTAGAAGAAAAAACGAAACTACTTCACCACTATATTCCAAAAGAAAATACACAACAAATAAAAGCATAAGTTCCTCATTACATTATCGATCTATTATGCAATTATTTTTGTACTAGAAATCGGTGCAGACAAGACAGCATCGGAACTATCTCCGCCCGGTTCGAGGTAGCGTGCAAGCGCATCCCCGCGACCCCGCGAATAGTTCCATTATTATAGAAGGCCACTTGTTGACTATCTCAGAAATGTTTCTCGATAACAATTGACATTATTATTGATGCACTGAATCAGTTTAAATTTGACACTGAGAAATGAAATGTGTAGGTAACCATTAAATGACCATCAGTGTGGCTCTTAATGGAAAAATCGTTTCAAAATTGATAACCCGTGTGTAAGATGTATTTATATTAGACGGTACTAGCCCGTGACTCCCGCCGCTAGCTCCATACTTGTTCAAGGCGCAACACATATGGTAAACCTGACATGTAGTGTCATTGTTTACAACAAAGACTATGAATGTTTGATTTGTTTTTGACAAGCTCGAGTGTCGCGAGCTCTAAACTTCTAAACATAGCTCGGAGCCGCGAGCGCGCCGAAGTGACGCGCGTCGCGCGTGGCGCAGCTCCGGCGGGCCGCGAGTGACGGCGGCGGTGCCTCGTGCCCGCGCGCCCCGACACGTGCCCAGTGCGCCTACGTCGCCAGAAATGTTTTTCTATGACTAACTCCAGTGGGTCCTTACCATTTTCATTTTTACCTTTATGAACATGTGTCAGTTATAGTGAACGTATATTAAAAGCTAATGTTACAGTAAAGTACACTAAAATGTAATTAATTAGTCAGCCAGCTAGTGCTATACATACATGTGTAATCATAATACAGCATATACCATGCGACTGAAATCATGCCATAGCAATAGTAACCTATCCACATGTAGAAGTATGACATGTAGGTACTCGTACATACATACATACTATGTGGACATATACATACATATGTAGGTGCAAGGTGCTCGCTCGTGTTATATTGTACTATATCATAATAATGCGATAGCGTTACATATTGTGTCAGTTTGCTTAATAAGTAATTATATTATGATATTCACCTTTCATCGGTCGGAAAAACAAAAAAATACCGGATACTGTAGAAGCTGGTAACTGGGTCACACTTGTCCATGTCTTGGACGACGACCACCTCTCTCTATCTACACATAACAGGGCACACAGGGATAGAACTTTGATGAGGAGCGCGCGGGCATGGGAGAGGCGGCGCGGCGCGACCGATGCTGCGCCGGGGCCGGGCCCGCACGGCTATCGGGCCACGAGCTGTGAGCTGTGTGCAGCTGTCCTTCCTTCAGCATTCGGCCGTCGGTCGAATCCGAACCAGGCCAGTCCAGTGCGCGGCCGGCGGCGGCAGAGTCCGCACGTGTGCACGACCTCGCCCGCAGCGCTACCGCGACGCGCTCGCTACTTGTCACTACTCACTTTCGGCTTCGTCTCGACGCGATCGCTTGTCGCGTCGTCGACACGCGAGTAATTGCGCAGTGACTGAAGTGATTAAGTACAGATATTATGCATTACTACATAGTTTACAACATTCAAAGTGCCTCCACTGTGAGTAGTACGGAAGGCGGTGGAGGCCGGGAGCTTCCTCGCCATCTTCATTTATTTTTCGGCTCTCATAGGACTCCGTTTTGAGATCTCGAAAATTGCTCAAGGCTATCGACGCGCTACGCTCTGCGGCGCTAGCGAATTAGAGAAAAGGTTAGAGTCGAAAAACAAACTTCGTAATTGTATATATTAGCATATTAATATGTGTCGTCGGAAGGGGAATCACATTTTTACATAAAAATGAATAATGAATAAAACACGTAAGTAGGTATATTAGTTTTGCGCTAAGTCCAAGTTCGTTTCTGCTCGGCTAGACTAGGCCCCGGGCTACAGGCCCGCGGCCGCCATGGGGCCCGTCGCCCATGCGCCGCTGCTGACCACCCAGTACAGGCGCCACGAAACGCAAACCCCGCCTCGTCCCACGGCTTTCTGCAACTTTAACACACTTCAAAAAGGAAAGGAATGACATATATATAATATATCTGAACGTTTTTTGTGTGGTAACTCAGACCTTCGCTTCTGGTGGACCGATTGAGAGATACTTTTTATTTAAAAGGCAGTGCTTTTGTATGGTGTTATGTATGATGCGTGTAAATAACATTTAATTAAGATGTGAATGTTATGTGTGAGTTACTCAGTACTTCCGAGTTAATCACTTTGTGTGTGTTACTCACATTTTTTTATTTATTAATGAACGTAGTGTATATATGCGTATAGTACGATCACTATACCTTATAATATACAGTCGAACGTAGAAAAGCGAGAGTCCAAGGGACCCCGGTTCTATTCTCGCTTGTAATGATTTTTCTCTAAGCAGAGTTTCTCGCTTATAGAGTTTGGACTGTTCAGATGTATTTAAAAGACCATTGCAACAGACTACTAAAGATTCTTTGGCCAAAATTATAACAAATCAAGCCGCGAAACGGCTCCGAAGCTTAATTGTTTTTTCGTTTCTTCAAATTAATTTACTCATATGTTCAAACCATGGATTTGATTCAATAAACTACACATATTTGAAGAAACAAAACCAATTTTAATAATTTAACACAAAAACTCCTGCCTGTTACATCAACAGTATTTTTTGTTTTGTTTTGTATATCTTGTCCATACACTTATAATAAATAAATAAAATTGGTATGCTATGTTATTTTGAAAAAGAAATCTTCATGCCGTGTAAACCTAACACGTGGTGTAGCTTTAACTATAAAGAAATAAACTTAAATTTACCTCTTATCTTACTTACCACCTTACACACATCGCTTACCTTTACTTATTTACAATGGAACTGAAATTCCACATTTTTGGCTCAAGAGATTGATAATTATGTCACAATATATCTACCGATGTCGTATTTTAGATAACAATTGTGAAATCCAACAAAGGTATTTTAACAAACTATAGGCAATAAGTGAAGAAGCGACAATGGTGCGCAGGTGGCGCAGCGGAGCATCGCAGGCGCCGCTCTCTGCGCCGCTCGCCGCGCTATTCGGCACGCTGCTGTGCCTCGCGGTCGCAGCACAGCTCGACCTCGGTGAGCCAAATCTACTAACAAAGTTGTTTTTCAGGATCTATACCTTTGCCCTTTGGATAAAAGTATTTCTTATGTTTTATTTTGAAACTAGCGAACAGCCCCGCCTTCGTCCGGGTGCCAAAACGATATACATCTGATCTCCTTTCTCTCATACCCTTTCCGGTGACGTCCCGTCCCACGTTCCACTCGCTCCACGTACGACCACGGTAAACACTCGTTTGTCATCGTTACACCTTTTAAACTATTTGTCAGAATCGTATACTGTAAAAAGTAATTTTAACTAACATAAAATATCCCTGATAACGAACATATTTATTTGATAAGGATTAGAATAGCAACGCAAATAACATACGATTTTTAATTGCTTTCTCTAAAGAATAATGTTAATTCCAAACGTCGATTCAAACCAATAATAGTCGTATAAAGTTCTTTTCATAACATAAGTAACTTAAGGCATATCATGTACGTACCTACTTTCATTGTTTAAATCAGTAATGTAGCACCGCTAGTGCTTTAAAATGGAAGACCAGTTAATGGTAAGTGGACCAGGTAATGGGTTAATGTTAATAAAATAGCCCTTCAAGAATGATTAAAAATTTGAAAACGTAAACGATCGTTTTAAATAATTTTTATGATTTCCAAATATTATGAAAAACTTACAGAGACCGAACGGCAACAACCAAATCGATCCCCGGGGAACGACACCGAGCTGGTCGTGACGGCCGTGTTGCCCGGCGGAAGCGCGGCCGGCGCTGCGCTCGCTGCACTGGCCGCGGCCGCACTGCGCCGTGCCGGGCTGGCCGCGCGCGCCGCTCCGCCGCCGCCCGCCTGCCGCCCGCCCGCCGCGCCCGACGCCCGCGCCTGCCGCGACGCCGCCTTCGCCGCGCTGGCTGCCGGCGGGCTGCACGTCGCGCTGCTGCCCGTGCCCGCGGCCGCCGCGCCCGCCGCCTGGCCGCTGCGGGACTACGGCCTGGACGTGTTCGGCGACGCTGTGCCCCCCGCCCGGCGCGCCTGCCTGCGCCTGGCGCCCCCCGGGCCCACCGCGCCTCCTGCGCCCCCTGCGCACCCCACCCGCTCGCTGCTGGAGCTCGCAGATGAGAACGTCGCGCGGCAGTACGAGATGCCGCCGCACGCTCTCGATGCTATACTTCGATCATCGGACGAGTTGCCGTAAGGGAATGCTATGTTTGCGCATTTTATTACAACTTGTTGTCTCTTCCTCTAACCCTCTGCTCGGCGTCTGCCCGACATTGAAGCGATAAATTCAAATTGAAATATAATGCAATGTTTTTAAGTAATTAAAGTAAATTAAAGATAATATCTTAATCTATCCATCTATTTAATCGATTCAGAAATGTAATTGAATTCTACGAACCGCCGTGGTGTTCGGCGGCCAACGCGAGCTGCGCCGTGGTGCTGACCAGCGACGCGGGTGAGGCGGGCGTGCTGAGGGCCGCGGCGTTGCAGGCGCGCCTGCGCGTTCGGGCGCTGCCGCTGCGCCGGCGCCTGGCCGCGGCCGCGCGCCTTCTGCTCGCCGCGCCACCTCCGCGCCCGATCCTTTGCGACTGGGCGCCCGAGTGGACGGAGCTGGCGACGCTGCCGGCCGCCCTGCTGGGCCCGCCGCCCTGCGCATCCGACCCGACACAAAAGAACGTCGGCTCGACGGACTGCCCCTTTGAAAGTCTACGTCTTATGAAATTCGCCAACGTCAGAGCGATCGCCAGGTCGACGGCCGCGGTCCGAGCGCTGGTCCGCTTCCGACTCGACGGCGAGGAGACGCGCGATCTGGCGGCGCGGGCGCGCAGCGGCATCGCGCCCCACGCCGCCGCCGAGGAGTTCTTGAGAGCGCACCCGAAGAGCGAGCGGAGGAGCGAGGTGCGCGTGGTGGTGATGGTGCCGAGCGTGACGGCGCGCCAGGCCCACGACGCGCACGCGCTCGCCGCGGCCGCGCAGTTGGCCGAGGCGCATCTGGAGGAGGCGGGCGCCCCGCGCGCCGCGCGCTTCAAGGTCGAGCTGTTCGACGACCGCTGCGACGTGCGCCAGGCGTACAGGTACATGTTCACCGCACTGGGCACGGGCGAGTTCGGCGCGCTGTCGGCCATGGCGGGGCCAGCGTGCGTCGCCGCGTTCGCCGAGGTGGCGCGGCAGAGCGCGGCGCACGCGCTGCCGCTGCTGGCCTACAGCGCGCAGACGGCGGCGCGCGGCGCAGCGGCGCTGCTGGCGGCGGGCGAGGCGCGCGACGCGGCGGGCGCGCTGTCCGCGCTAGCTCAGCGCCTGCGCTGGCGGCGGCTGGCGGCGCTGAGCGAGCCCGCCGCGCGCGCCGCGCTCGACGCCTCGCGGCTGCGTGTGCCGCTCCTCGTGCACCTCGAGCTGCCCGATCCCCTCCCCGAGGACGACGGACAAATATTTTATGATGTAATTACAATTTTTTATTTATGTGTGATGTATTTCCGTTACGTATGAATCAATAACCTCCAAATTGAGTAAGCTCCTAACCCCCCCATGGGGCTACTTATATAAGTTGATAGCAAAATGGAAAAAACACAATGGAATTTAAATGTACATAGAGACATGCATTCATAAAAA